CTAATTTTTTATTTATTGCAGAGATGAGGTCTCACCAAGTTGCCCAGGCGGGTCTCAAACCCGCAGGCTCAGGCACTCCACTCACCTCAGCCTCCCAAGGCACGGGATTACAGGCTGAGCCACCAAGCCCGGCTTGTCCTTGTTTTCAAGCACCCCATCCTTCCCCAAAGGCCCAGTGTCGTCTGGTTCTGTACGCGCCCACACTGCCTGGAGGGCAGGATGAATGACCTGCGTGGTCACTTCTCGACTTCGCGAGACAGTCAATGGATTCCCAACCACTCGAGAATGCCAGGGCATTGGGGGACTGCGGGGGCTGCTCCGTGTTTACGTCTGGGGCACCCATGAGGCCCAGTTGCCCTGGCCCTGGCCAAGCCCTCTAGCTCCAGCCACAGTACAGGGTATGGCGTCCTGAGAATGCCAGACTCACTCAACCTCCTTTCTTTTACATGTGGTACCCCCCCAAAACATGTTCTCCAGCGCCCTTCACCCAGCCACAGCCCACATATCCTTCAAGACTCAGCTGAGCCCTCACCTCTGTCACCACTCGCAGACTATTACCCTGCGTGACTTAGGGACACCCCATCCTGGCACCCATAACACTGCATGTCTAACAGCTCCTCTGGGGTATAATTCACATACCACATTGCACGACCACTCCAAGTGCTCAATTCAATAGTCTTCAGTACATTCAAAGTTGTGTAGCCAGCAACACATTCAGTTTTAGAATATTTTCATCGCCCCAAAAAGAAACCCCACACCTACTGGCAGTCATCCCCCCTTTCCCCACCAACTCCCCCCAGTCCCTGGCCATCGCCAACCTGCGCTCTGCCCCTGTGGATCTGCCTGTAACAGACATCAAATAAACAGAGTCCTACATACAAGAAGGACCCAAAATTTATAAATTGCGTTTTACTCTGGCATGTTTAACCTCCAGTCACCTTCAAAGGACCCTCTGTCTGATGCAAGACACGTATCGAGAGGCTTTTCCCACTGCTCAAAACAGTTTCTGAACTTGTCCATTTTGATACATTTTAGTGCTTTTGCCATTTCCTTGTGAGAAAAACGTGAAGATCGGTGGATAGGGAGGGTGGGGTATGGGGATCATGACATTTTGGGTTAAAAATTACTGGACACCCAGCACAGTGTGGGCAGGTAAATCACCCATCAGTAAGTGGGAAACACATTGAAAGACCCCCCCCCCAAAATTCCACAGAAGCCAAACACCCTCTCACAACAATGCTAGCTAGTACACTGATGCTGATGGGTTTCTAGAACACTCACCTAGTGGTCAAAGCCTGCACTGCAAGGGGTCTGCCCTCCAAAATATAATCCCGGGTTTTGGGGAGTTTTTTTGAACCTCCATGTTTGTGACCCTTTGTGCCTGGCCTCTCTCATCCTTTGCACCTTTCTGAGGTTCAGCCCTGATGTGGCACCCATGGCCACATTCCACAGCATGGAGATGCCACGCTGTTTACCGGGCCCCTTGGAGCTGTTTCTACTTCATGGCTGCTGTGGATGATGCAGTCCTGCTGTCACTCACATCAGGCCACGTGTGAGTTTCTGGGGAGACACATTTCCGCTTCTTGTGGGCAGGTGCAGGTGGAGCATCCCAGCCTGAACACCCGAAGCTTCCTGAGCACTGATGCATGGCTCACAGGACATGCTCACCGGCCCATTTTGGATTTCTGATTCGGGAAACGCAAACATTCCCAAATCTAAAAGTTCTGAAACTGGAATCCCCTCTGGAAGCACTTCAAATAAGAGACAACTGGCATGTGCCTAGGCGTGGAAGCTGGTGGAACTGCAGGGTCACACGGGGCTCTGTCTTTGACTTCTGAAAACCAACAGATGCCACCTCACGCCAGCTTCTAGGGCTGCCTGCCTCCCCAGGGCCTAACACAACGGTCCCAGCAGACACCACATGCATGAACACGTGAACAGAAGAAGAGGGGCAAACCTGTCACCTCAGCCTGATGGACCAGGAAACGTTTCTTGAAGACATAGCACTGCAAGGTTGGGGCGGGGCTTGGCTGTGGCTACAGGGTCCCTGGGTGCCCCCAACCCAGCCATGGGACCCCGTGGGCTGTGGGACACTGAGTGCCAGGGACAGAGCTGGGACAGTCTCGCCCGACTGACTGAGTAGTGGATGTGGGAGCCTGCCAGGGACTACTCCCAGCTGTGCCCTCAGTGGGGTTTGTGCCACCGTGGGGTGGCACTGGCTGCAGGCCAGGTGGTGTTGTCCCTGGCCTCAGCTGGCGGGCACCTGGGTTGGCACCCCTCAGAGTAGAGCCCATGAAGCTGCACCCTCAACAGGAGAACTGGGATTCTCAGCACTGGCAGGCCTGGGTGAGGCCCATCCGCTCCTCTCAGGGGCCGAGGGCATCCTGGGAACTTCCTGGCGTGGGATCCCGGAGACACAGGACGCTGAGCTGTGCAGAGGCTGCACCCACAGGAAAAGAAGGGGTGAGGGAGTAATGGGCTGAGGGGACGGCAGGGGCCAGGAGTCTAGAGTCACAGCCCTGGGACCCTGATCCTTGTGATACCATGAGAAACATCTACAAATGTGTGCTCTGTCCACGGCTCCTGGCTCATGACTTCCATGGCCCTTGTGACAGCCTTCTGCTGTAACACTGGGGAGCCTCAGGCTTCAGAAGACAGGGGCTCTCTCTGGCCTGTTCCTGCCCTCTATCCACCTGCTCCTTTGTCTCCCCAAGGCAGGCCTTACAAACTAAAAACATACTCTAGGCCAGGCACAGAGGCTCACGCCAGCACTTTGGGAGGCTGCGGTGGAAGAGCTGCCTGAGTTGATGAGTTCAAGACCAGCCTGGGCAACACGGTGAGATCTTGTCTCTACAAAAAGTCAGAAAATTAGTGGGGTGCAGTTGCTCACACTTGTAATCCCAGCACAATGGGAGGCTGAGGCAGAAGGACTGCCTGAGCCCAGGGGTTCGAGACCAGTCTGAGCAACACAGCAAGACTTCGTCTCTACAAAAAAATCATGAAGTTAGCTGGGTGCACTGGCTCACGCCTATAGTCCCTATCTACTGGGAAGGCTGAAGCAGGATTACCTGAGCCCAGGAGTCTGAGGCTGCAGTGAGTTGTGAGTGTGCCACTGCACTCCAGCCTGGGCCACAGAGTAAGACCCTAACTCAAAAAAAAAAAAAAAAAAAAAACCCCTACTCTTCTCCTGCCTCTGGTCATGGGCCACACTCCAGCGAGGTCCTGTCCTGCCCTGGAGGATGCACAACAGAGAGGCCTCGAAGAATCTGGACAGACAGGCCCTGTGGGTTCCCCACTGAGCCTCATAGTGTGAGATAAGATGCGTTTTGTCCAGTAACACGTCTACACGGCTGTCCGTGCTTCCCTTGAGCCTCTTCAATGCAGTCTCCGTGAAAGGTCCTAGAGGCCTGGGGCAAGAGCTCCTAGACAGATAAGCATGTGGAGGCTGCTGGGACCAGCCGCAGGCCGACTCCATGGACAGAGGCTTCCGGACCTCGCCCTGCGTGTCTCTTCACCCCATTGTTTATCTGTACCCTTTAAAGCGTCCTTTTTTTTTTGAGTTGGAGCCTCACTCTGTTGCCCAGACTGGAGTGCAGTGGCCGCTCTTGGCCACTGCAGCCTCGACCTGCTAGGCTTCAGCGATCCTTCCACCTCAGCCTTCCGAGTAGCCGGAATTATAGGCATGTACTACCATGCCCGGGTGATTTTTTGATTTATTGTAGAGATGAGGTCTCACCAAGTTGCCCAGGTGGGTCTCGAACCCGCGGGCTCAGGCAATTCACTTACCTCAGCCTCCCAAAGGTGCGGAATTACAGGCTGAGCCACTGAGCCTGGCTTAAAGCATCCTTTGTAACAAACCAGTAAATAAATCTGCCTGAGTGCTGGGTGATTAACCAAACATGAGGAGTGGGTCATGGGACCCTGATGTGTCCACCTGGTTGGTCAGAAGCACAGCTCAGCGCTGAGGCTTAACGGGCACTGCAGGGGGACAGCTTTGGGGGCAGAGCCCTCACCGTGGGATCAGACGCAGGTAGATGTGACGGGTCTGAGTGGGGGAACACCCAGCTGGCGCCCACTGCACACCTGGATGCTTGCTTGGGGTGTGGGGGAGTCACCCCACACGCACATTTGGTCACAGAAGTCTTCTGCAGTCAGTTGTTGGGTGAGAGAACAGTAAAGACAACTCTGTTATCTATAGATGCTTGAGGTCCCTGAACTGACTGTGTGACCTGGGGCAAGTCACCTGACTTCCCTGAGGCTGTCTCTCTACCTTGAAACTGAAGACACCAGCACCCACCGAGGACCAACCCCCAAGGACTGTGTGGAGACCAGCTGAGACAGGGCCACTGGGCAGCAGAGTCGGCCCATCTAGACAGAGAGCTGGCCTCTGCCCTCAGCTCCCAGGAGATCACCTCTCAGCCCCAGAGCACCCCACCTGGCGGGAGTCTCTGCTCGCTGGGGCCCTGGGCCACCAATAGGCTGAGTTGACAGCATGACTCCAGCGGGGCCCTGGGCCACCTTACAGGCTGTGGCAACAGCGTGACGCCCAATGGGGCCCTGGCAGCACTGAGAGAAGGTCTGCTATGTCTACACACCTGACCCCCAGGATAACCCAGGACGCCAGGCTCAGGGGAATGTCCCTGGAAGGCAACTCCTGCATGTTGTCAAACAGTGTTGCCAGGAGTTGGCACCAGCTGTGTCCTTTCTCTGTAGCAAGCCTCAGCCATGAGTGTGAGTGGGCTGACCTGCAGAGCCAGGAACACACAGGACAGCGCGACTGCCCATCAGAGCCTCCCCCACTCTGCCCTGGAAGACTCGACTCCAAAGCTGTGGCTGCGGAAGCCAAGGCTCAGAGAGACCCGGACATATGTCCAAGGTCACCCAGCCTGCAAGCAGTGGAGGCAGGACCCACATGCAGGTCATGGCAAGATTTGCTAACAATGAAAACAGCCTTGCCTTTCCAGGTTAGATTCCACCGGCCACAGCAGTCTATGCTGGAGCCAGCAGCTCACGTGCCGCTTAGCATTCTTGCGTCTGTCTCCCCCATGAGGCTGGCCGACAGCTTTCTCTTCCCGTGCCTCCCTGTCTGACGAGGCTCCTGGAGGCCGGGAGGGGCTGGCGGCCCTGTAGTGAGCTGGGTGGCTCCTGCCCTCTCTCTGCGCTGAAACAGTCTGCGAAAGAGGAGAGCCTGAGAACGAGCAGCTCCTTGGAGTCTGGCCAAACTTATACATAAAGCAGCCAGCACTGTGCGTTTTCAGGGGAGGGTCCTTGATGGCAGTTTTGATTTTTTTCCCCTCTGGTTTCTGGACTCTTTCGATCTGCTGCTTCTGCATGAGCAAATTGTGGTGATGTGAGTTTTCCTAGAAAACAGCCCATCTCACCAAGGTCTTGTGATGCACTGTGTGAGCTGTCTGTGGCTTCCTGTGGCTGCCATTCTGCCGAGATGTTACACTGCACCGGGCGAGCTGTCCATGGGTCCCCCCAGTGAGGCTTGTTTCCACCACCCATGCTTGTTTTGCTCACCAACTTGGTGAAGGTCTGTCTTAGTCTATCATTCTTTATCCATCAGTGTGCCTTCTGTGTTTTTGCCAATTTCTGCTCTTACACTGAGCAGCTAACCTGAGCGCTTTCTGGGCTCCTGCTGCTTCTGGAGCCCTAGGGTATCCCCTCCAATTCTGCAGGGGTGTCTCCGGTCCTGCTCGCCAGGCTGGGGCCGCCTCTCCCACCTCCCTGCGCCCGGCCTCCCCACTGGCTTTTCCAAGCAGACAGACACCCTGCCCGCCCCTGTCTCAAATGACCCCCTTAGCTATCATGTGCCTGAGGCTGGGTGCTGGGCGCCTGCAGCCAAGTCGCCCTGCCTTGCTGGGCAGATCAGGTTATCTCTCACAACTATGAGGAGCAGCCCACACCCTGGCCTTCCTGGGCCAAGCTCTGCCCTTCAAGGCAGGACAAGAAGTTGCCTTGGGAGGGCTGTTCAGACCAGGTGAGTTTTGTTCGTAGCTACCAGGCACACACACAGCAAGAAGAGACCAGGCCCTCCCAGCAAGTCTATACTCCAGTTAGAGTTGGATGCACGGTCAAAAGCAGACCAGTTCAACGTGGCCAGCTCAGCCTACAAGGGGTTCCTCAGAGCTGCCTGGAGAAGGAGCCTAGAGAAGTCCTGGGAACCACAGGATCTCTGAACCAGCAGTCTCCTACCATTACCAAAACTGAAGGCTTAGTGTTCTGGTTTTGAGTCAGGCTCTCACTGTCACCCAGGCTGCAGTGCAGGGGCACAACCACAGCTCATTGCAGCCTTGACCTCCAGGACTCAGGTGATCCTTCTGCCTCAGCCTTCCAATAGCTGGGACTACTGGCACGTGCCACCATGCCCAGAAAGTTTTTTTTTTGTTTTTTTTTTTTGTAGAGATGAAGCCTCACTACTCTGCTCAGGCTGGTCTTGAACTCCTGAGGTCAAGCAATCCTCCCGCCTCTAAGTGCTGGGATTACAGGCATGTACCCCCACACCAGCCAGACCTTTAAAACTTTACAGATATACACTAAAGCAACGACGACTACCATGTGCCTTCACCACGTTTTCCCAAAAGAACATTTAATGCCCAAGAATCAGGAGGTGAGACCTCAGAGAAACCCACTGCCAGGCGCTGCCATGCTGGGTCCATTCTGAGGATTCAGGGAAACCGGATAGGGAATGAGTCAGGGCTGTCAAGGCAACATCTGTCCCCCCCACCTCCGACGCAGCCTGTGTGCACCCTGCCTTTGTGCAGACATGTGCAACCCCGAGACCCTGCCCACACACTGCCTCCAGGGAGAGGGACCCTGCAGATAGGACTGAGGTGGGGGCTGACTGGGGAGACAATCCTGCACTGTCCAGAGGGCCCAGGGTCACCACAGCGTCCTCAGAAGTGGCAGCAAGATCCAGAGGGTCAAGGTCAGAGGAGCAGGTGGGAAGAGGGAAGCAGAGCCCAGAGGGTCATACCAAGGAAGGGAGGCGGGGCCACGCTGGAGGCGAAGCCATGCTGGAGGCAGCAGTGAGGGTGTGAAGGGGAGGTGGGACGGCAGCAGAGTGAGAAAAGGCCGCAGCCTCCACAAGACATGGGCCTCCTCTTCACAGGGGCAGATCCTCCCTTGGACCTCCAGAAGGAATGCAGCTCTGCTGACACCCCAATCCTAGCCGCTGAGATGCAACTGGGACTTCTGACCCCCAAACCATAAGATATCAGGTGTGTGTTGCTTGCGAGCCACTGAGCATGGGCGACTTGCTACAGCACAACAGGAAACTCCCACCACCCACCTTGGGCACCACCACCCGGAAGAAAGGCAAGGACAGACACCAGGCAGAGGCGCCAAGAGGTGTGGGAAGGGGGAGAGTTGACCAGAAGCTGGAGGGGTGTTGGGGGCCCAGGCTGGATGAGGAGGTGACAGACTGCACCGGGTTGGGCGGCCAGGACAGGACAGCTCCCTTGGGAAGAAGAAAAAGCCCTGAGGCGGCCTCTCCTGCTCCGGCCCAGCACCCAGCACCCAGCCCTGATGACAAGCGCTGAACCACCACCAGACTGCTCTGACTCCTCGCCTCCCACCAGTGGGTGCCTCCAGCCTTACCACTGCGGCGCCCTCACTCGCTGCCTCCAGCCACTCCACGAGCCTCAGGGCCTTTGCACTGGCTGCTCCTGCGGCCTGGCCCGTCTTTCCAGGGCTCTATATGGCAGGCACTGCCCATCACTCAGGCCCACACAGCAGCCACGGCCCACGCAAGAGTGCCAAGTGTTGTAACAGCGTTTTGGATGTAGTGGGGTCAATAAAGTGGGCTGTCAAAACTAAATCCACCTGCTTCTTTTCGCCTTTTTAAGCGTGGTTGCTAGAACGCTTAGGATTTCCATTGGCCAGCCAGCTCTACCCCAGGGCCAGGAAGCCTTCTCCCCAGAGGGCCAGTCAGCGGCACCGGCGTCTCCAGACTGGTCACCAGTGGCAACTGCAAAAGCTCCAAGGCGGCTACAGAGGATGGAAGTGGGTCTAGCTGTGCCCAGTGGGACTCCACGCAACAGGCGGGGCGGGGGCACCCTGCGACCCCTCCGTGGGTACAAAAGTCAAGCCTGCCAGAGAGCAGTCCGGCCTATGCCCACCCAGAACAGTCACCTCCAAGTCCCTGCTGAGGGGGCCCCCTGTAGCCAGCCAGGGATGAGGGGATGTCCAGGCAGTGCTAGTCAACCTCCGGGGCCCTGGAGGCTGAGGCAGGCCACAAAGAGGCCAGCCCACATCTACGCTGTCGTGGCAGGCACCCAGGCCCACGGCTGGCAACACTGCCTGCGTCCTGTCACCCATTGCCAATGGGAGGAGTCAGCAGCCCAGAGCCACCCCTCCCCTTTCTCCGCTCCCCACCTCCACCGCTCACCCACAGCTCCTCCAGGAGTGCCACGGCTTCCTCGCCACTCCGCGGCCGCCGGCTGCACACCCAGGCCTGTGTGTCGGCGGGCAGCGCACTCAGGAACTGCTCCAGCACCAGCAGTTCCAGCATCTGCTCCTTGGTGTGCACCTCAGGCCGCAGCCAGTCGCGGCACAGGGCGCGCAGCAGCCCCAGCGCCTCGCGCGGGCCGCG